CTTTAAACGCCAAATATAAAGTTTTTAATTTTTTGTAATTTGCAACGTGGATCGGAGCTGCTTTTGTCATTATATCTGCTATCATATCAGTAGTAGGACAATAATTTACAATCACCTTACCTGCGTTTATGGTGGAACGAATAATATGATATCGGATATCAATATGTTTAGATCTCTGACGATTGACAGGATCTTTAGATAAAGCAATCGTACCCTGATTGTCCTCAAAAATCTGAACTGGACTACAAATTTCAATAATCTCATCTAATAATTGCGCTAGGTATAAGGCTTCCTGTACTGTTGCAGCTAAAGCCATATATTCTGCCTCACAGGATGAAAGGGCAACGGTACGTTGCTTCTTTGATTTCCAAGAAATCAAAGGCCCAGTCTTAGTTAAACTAAAACAGTACCCACTAATATTTCGTCTGTCGTGGGTGGAAGACGCCCAATCAGCATCGCTATAACCAATCAACCTAAAATCGTCATCACACTTCCTGTAACACAACTCATAATCAAGAGTACCCTTCAAATATCGCAATACATGCTTAGCAGCAATCCAATGTTCTTTAAGAGGTCTCGACAAGTACTGTGATAATGTCGTTATTATCCAACATATATCACGTCGAGTGCATGTCATTGCATAAATCAAACTACCAATAAGCTCACGATACCTCCTAGGGTCAGTAAGATTTTCACCGTCACATTCTAATTTTTGCTCTGAAGGGGTAGTACGAGGTTTGCAATTAGACATTTCAAATTTCTCCAGCAGCTTTACCAAATACTTTCTTTGGTTCATTCTAACACAATCTACCCCTTGCTTAAAATCAATACCTAAGAAATATGAAAGCCTCCCTAGGTCTTTCATGTGGAATTTATCTTTCAACATTTGCTTTGTGTCAGACATTAAGATATCATTTCTCGCAGCAATGATCAAATCATCAACCCACACGAGTATGATCACGAGTTTGCCATCAATGTGTTTGATTTACAAACAGTGATCAACATTACTTTGCACAAAATTGTTTTCGATTAAATACTTATGCAACATGCTATTCCAATTCCGTCCGGATTGCTTCAAACCATACAAAGATTTGTTCAACTTATATACCAATTTCTCTCCAGAATTGGAAGGGGTTTCAAAACCTTCAGCCTGCTCAATGTATATCTCGCAATCAATGGGAGCATTGAGATACGCAGTTTTTACATCCATTTGATGTAAAATTAAATCCTGCTTTGCAGCAATTTGCATTAAAGCTCGGATTGTTGTTAGATTTGCAGTTGGAGCAAAAGTTTCGTGATAGTCAATATCTTTTATTTGACTATAACCTTTTGCCACATATCTGGCTTTATATCTTTTAGCCATGCTTGGGCTTTCCTTGATGGTGTACACCCATCTACCGCCCACTGTTTGCCGACCCTCTGGCAATGCTGTTAAAGTAAATGTGTTATTCTCATTTAGAGAATTCATTTCCTCCCTCATTGCAGCTTTCCAAAGCTCTGCATCAGGAGATTCTATAGCTTCCTGATATGTTTCTGGAAAACCTGATACCTTATAACAGTAATCAACATCGCCCGATACCTGATCCGTCCCAATTTGGACATTTGTAATATAATCACTAAGATATGATGGGGGTTTTCTTTCACGTCGTGAGTGACCTATACCATCATCAGATTGTAAATTCATATCTGCCTTACTCTCATCAGACTCTTCAGTCTGTTGATCAGGTTCATCAGACTCCTCGGTCTGTTGGCAAGGGCCTTCATGGGTGGGCCCTGGGTTCTGAACATCCGAGGAATTACATGGACCATTATTGTCCTGGGACATCCTAAAATCAACACTTGATGTGTCCTCGGTTTGGGTTTCCTGTTCACTAACATTCTTTGTAGCGAATTTCACTACTCTGTACTTGAGTACTTTTCCAGTTTCTGAAAAGTACACTAAGTAAGCAGGGCTATCCTTATCAAAACTCACGAAAATACCCTTTTTGCACCGGGGGTCTAGTTTTTGCTTATCCTGCTCATAAGCACAACATACACTGCCAAACACTCTCATATTTGCTAAGTTTGGCTTTCGACCAGTAAGAGCAAAATAGGGTGTTTGCTTTAGGCGATTATTGTAGCACCTATTCCTGATGTACGCAGCTGCCATAATCGAATATGGCCATAGCACTTTACCTAGATTTGCCTGAATAAGCATACATCTACCCATCTCAAATAGGGTCCTCCAATGACGCTCAGCTGTCCCATTCTGGTGAGGCGAGTAAGGTGCTGAGGTCTCGTGTTTTATTTTGTTTTCACTTAGAAGAGATTTAAATTTATTGGAAATAAATTCACCACCATTATCTGACCTTATTCGTTTAACATTTCCATATGGGGCAGAATCAGCTAGGAATTTCTTTGTGGCCTCGACAGTATCACTCTTATTTTTAAGAAAATACACAAACACAGCACCTGAATAATCATCAGTGAAAGCTATAGTATATCTAAATCCTTCCTTTGACATAGGGTCAACTGGACCAGCAAGATAAATGTGCACAAGCTCTAAAGGGGCTTTAGATCGAACATCGGGATTTCTATTCCTACTTTGAGTCATTCTAGTTTCCCTAAAACACAAGTATCACAATCTGGTTTACTACTATTATCACTTACCTTCATGCCATCAACTACATCTTGGAGCTTCACTACATCTTCATAATTGCAATGACCAAGTATTTCATGGCCAGCCCTTTAAATCACTAGTATAATTTACTGAGTCAGAGTTTTCTATATCACTATATGGTCCTACATGTAAATAGTATAGTTTACCATGCTTCTCAATATTAAACTTTGTACCATCTTTGCTGTTAGCTCTGCCGACTATGGATGGAAAATAACACTAGCACCTTTCTCAGTGGCAGCTTGTACTGAAAATATGTCCTGAGGATACGATTGTATATACAGAGCATTCTTTAGTGAGGCATTGACACATCTTCCTGTAGAATCCGTGATAGGCAAGTTCACATTTCCTCTCTTGAGTGTAACATTATTTGATCGAGTCCCATCAGCTAGTTCAATGTAATGTGATTCTGGTCTGAATGTTTGGTCAAAGCTGGAAAACTTGGATTGATCAGTAATAATATGGGTAGTTGCACCACAATCCACCAGAAGTTTGCTCGGGGGTTCTACATTTATCTTGCTAACACCCTGCTGTGCTTTAATCTGGAAGGCAAATGAATGTTCTCCCTGCTCAACATTCAAAGCTTTGTTAGCTTTGTTTTCTCGCTTTTGCCTTTATTTTTATTTTTACGACAAGTGTTATCATTGTGTGTGGAACTGTGGCAAGTTTTACACCACAATTTGCTCTTGGGTTTCTCTTTATTTGAACACTGACGAGCAAAATGACCTGGTTGGCCACAAGAATAGCAAAGTTTATTGTCCTTTATACAAATCTTGAATCTTGTTTATGTCTATTAATTGTCTGCAAAATCGAGTCTCCCTCAGTAGAATTGCTTGCTCTAGCTCGTTCGGTCTCCTCAAAACTTCGTAAGGCTGCTTTGAAGTCACTAAATGTTTGTTTCTTTTCATTTTGTGTTATTACTACAGTGAAGGGCTTGAAAGTTTCTGGTAGACCTTTCAAAACCATAGCAATCAAAAGACTATCAGTTACATTCTCACCAGCATTTTTGAGGGCTGTCGCAGCAGTTTCTGTCCTTATAACATAGTCAGTAACCGTTTCACGCGGTGATTTTACCAAGGGTGTAAGTTCAGTATACAACGAAATGATTCTTGGCTTACCAGTTCCAGCATAATGTCCTCTTAGGATTTTCAATGCTTTTTGCCCATCGTCAACAGCATCTCTCATAATCAATGAGAGGCTTTTATCATCAAGAAACTGGATTAATTCCGTGAAAGCTTCTGCGTTCTTATCGTCACTAACCTCATCTTCGTCGGATGCCACAATTGTATCTCTCAACTTTTGCAATCGCATGTAGCCAAGGAATTTAATTTCCCATTGCTCGTACTTTCTCTCATCTCCATCGAGCAAAAGTCTCCCATATCTCCCAGGAATATCTCTTCTGGGCCCATAACCTGTTGCATTTTGCGCTTGACTCATGATGAAGGCAATATATTAAGGATTAAATAAGTATTTTATTGACGGCACAAAACGTTCAAACTACATTCGCCATGACATGTGTGCAGATCAGTAAACTAAAACAATTACATTAATTATCCCTAATTGTACATCGGTCTACAACGATAACCCTATATGTATATATATATATCTCAACTAAATGTAAATGAGATCACATCCAACAAAAAATACTTTTTCAGACATTAAAATTCTTATTGCTACGGAAGCTAGCGAGCGAGCGACGCAGCAGATCTAATTTGTGTAGATGGTGATTTTTATCTCAAAACATTCTAGCGCAGTGCATTGTGGTCATGCGCAATCGGAAATGCGCAGTAAGCTATTTTTCCGTAATGTTTCCACGCCGTGGAACCTTGCGTTCATAGACATTAAGACATTAATTCAAAGACATACTAGACTTACATTGATTCGTTCACTGTTCAGCATAACTTCGGAGCAAGATAGTTCTGCTTTGCTTTATGAAAGCCTATGTTGATAAATATTTTGATAATCAGATACGTTTCTTTCTTTTATCCAATTTTATCCTTAATTTGAATTTGCACGTTTTAATATTCACGAGGAAGCACTAGTGTTGAAAGGCCTTCGGCAGTCTGGCTTCCGAATTCTTCGTTCTTTTTGCGTCGATTAACATTTGCTCAGTCAATTTTTGTCAATTTTGGTTTCTTACTGTGATAAATCTGTGTTTATAATATAGTCATCCACCGTATATGAGCTGTTCTGCAATCTGATTGGTTGAATTACTCGCCGTATATCAGCTCATATACGGCGAGTAGCGAAAAACAAGATGGCGGTCCAAAAACTACATGAGTTTTGCGAAGCAGAAAAAGGAAAATATTCGCTTTGAGAAACATAATAGTACAGGTTAGCAAAATACATTTATTACGTAGAAATTAGTTTAAATAAAGTTTTTTAAAGAATTAATACCGAAACAACAGCGAAAAAACATGTTCATTGAGAATATAAATTGTTCAGAAAAGTTTGCCGATGAACGACAAATGAATTTGCAGTCAACAAGCACTTACTATAGTACCAAACATCTGTATAATATATCTGAGCTTTCCTGTTAGATATAGAGGATCTAAAACCATTTCTTTCACTTCGTCTTCGAGTTGTAATACAAAAGTATTTCACATTTTCAAGCGGTTTTTGGCCGAACAAATTGTCAACACATTGTAACAGTGAATAATTAATTACTGCTTCAGTTAATGGCTATATTAGACTATATTATAAAACAATTATACCATTCGCTCTCGTCGTATATGGCTGATAGCCGACTCGGTGCTATGCACCTCGTCGGCTATCAGCTCATATACGACTCGAGCTCATGGTATAATTGTTAAATATAAGTGGTAAATGCGCCTAGCAGTAAACAGACTTGATATGAAATCTTATAACAAAAACTTGTGTTATATAATTAATTTACCTGTATGTGAATTCAATGAGACGCACATGTTTAATATCTGTCACTGATGGTAAGAATCGATTCCTTACTGGCTTATAAAGGCGTTCAGCTCACAACTCTAATTAATAGTCAAATAGTCGCTGCGAGTAATAACAGTGCTTGATATAATTTGTACTATTTACTGTAGTTCTATTTGCTTTCAATGACCACAGCAATCCCTACCTTGCAGGTACCCTAGTTAGTATAAATGTTGCATATGAAATGGCTTTTGCGAGTTTTGATTGGCTTGTTGACTGGAAAATCTAACGCATTATTTACCAGCAAACTGCATGTTTAGAATTTACACACAGTTGGGCAAGATGACAGGATCTGGTTATTTTATAGCAATTCCACATCTCTTTACGTAAGGTAAATCTGATGGATTTACGTATCAGACAGGATACCCTTTATCACGGACAACAGTCACAAAGTAACCACATCGTTTGCTCGATCGATCTAGAAGATTTTTACACTTTTTGATTGTGTTTTTATAGCGAAGCGGGGTAGCAAATCTTCGAGGTAAGCCCCTCGAGTTAAGCCCTTCGAGTTAAACCCCGACCACGCCCTTTCGAGTTAAACCCCGACCACGCCCATTTCCTTTGAGGGCTGAACTCGAAGTACATAACTGGAGTTAGGTACTTCGAGTTAAGCCCTCTAGAATATAGGGGCTTAACTCGAGCAAGGTGAAACATTTTGTTCTTCGAGTTAAATCCCAACGTTTGAAAGATGTAAACGAGCGAAGTTTTTAATTTGATCCCAAACAAAATAAAATACATTTGGATCGCGTTTCGTTCAATCACGGTTCAATACGTTTTATTTCGGCCGACGTATTATATATGTTAGGGACTTTAAGATTGACGTTTACGGCAAACCGCTAACCGCAAACGGCAAATTTCTAATCGTAATTTCAAGTCAACTGTTAGCTGTTCGAAGTTAGAGCAACTTGTGCATAAAAATTGGACTATGAATTAGCTACTTTTAGCTAAAATACCAAAAAGAATAAAGATTGACCTTTTCTGCCGTAAAGGTCAATCTTAAAATATTATCAAATTTTATACCGGTGTCCCAAAAAACACCGGACTCTGTTTGATTTCATGTAACTTAAAAGCTATAAAAGCTATCGCAATGAAATAAAGACCATTGCATTCATAATGGACTAACTTAGATTTTGATATATATCCGCGCCGCCGTGTAATATCCTGTATATATATATAAGCTCTAATACTTGTTAAGTTTGAAAAATATTTATTTCCCACCATGTAAATTGTTGACGACGCGTTCCAATCGTTTCTGGCGCAAATAAAACATTTATGTTGATTAAGTGTTATTGAATTAACATTATATACTAAAAATAATGAATAATGTTTATTTCCGTAACTCGTTTACATCTTTCAAACGTTGGGGCTTAACTCGAAGAACAAAACGTTTGACTGTGCTCGAGTTAAGCCCCTATTTTCTATGGGGCTAAACTCGAAGTATCTAACTCCAGTTATGTACCTCAACGGAAATGGGTGTGACATGGGCGTGACATGGGCGTGGTCGGGTCTTAAATCGAAAGGCTTAACTCGAGGAGCTTAACTCGAAGATTTGCTACCCCTAGCGAAGCGTGCTTTCCGTGCCAAAAGCCTTGTGTCCACTGAAATCTGATCCAACTTCTCCCTTAACTAATGTAACCCAACACTCAATGATACAAAGGACGAAGTCATGTTACTGAGATAAATACGAAATCTTTCAGGATTTCTTGTTACAAGTTTAAATGTTATTATCCAAAACTATAATATACACAACTACACAAGTTGTCATTTTGCAAGCGCGCTCCCCTGCCACCCTACCCTAATGACAATTTTAATTTACCACGCGAAATCCGCGTGGCACGTGACCAGCCCCAGCCAGGGTCTTTCCTCAACAAGAGGAAAGAGCCTGGGAACGAGGTTGAGGTTCAACTATTGCTGTGATGAATATAACTTATTTAATTAAAAAAAATTAAACAAAGTTTCCATAGCAGACATTACTAAAATGCGAAGAAAAAACCTTGGTAACTAGTACAAAACATTCCAAAATGTTTGTTTAAATGCATGCACTAACTAAATATACCAAATTTCATTTCATTTTGTTGAATCACTAGCTTCTGAGGTATTTAGACTTTCTTGTTTTTGCTGCCATCTTAAGCACAACTATATATAGTGACGTTATAACACAAAAATACAAAATGCCCGATAATTTGGAAATTAGATTATTTTCAAGGAACTCTCAAGTAATGCATGTTGAAAATTGCCAACAAAAATTTCGAGTCATGTGCACTTTACGAGGCCCTCGCGCATTGCGTAGTTCAAAGCTTATCCCCATGCACAACCGACTTCGTAGCACTAATTTTGATTCTATCAAACTCATATGCCAACATTTGAATAGTTAAAGGATGCAAGGTTAACTATAATATTAATAAAAGGACTTGTTTGTTTCTTCTAGTACATGATATTGAAGCAATATCTTTAAGATTAACAGAGAAATAACTAATAAGCTCTGTGTGTAGACTTTCTCTATCTCCAAAACAATAGCGGCGTTCAAGCTTGAAAGGTTGGTTGTGTAGGATCATCTGTGTAATTTAAAAACTGCGAAATATATATTTTCTTAGTATACTGATCGAAGATTCAATAGAATTAGTAAATCGGTATCATCTTGATGCAAGATGCCCTAGTCTGGACAATTTACTTTCAATCACATGCATACAGTAAAACCACGTTTCCCAAAAGAAATGTCTAGAAAGGCAAATGCTGATTATAAATCTTGAGAATGTCAATTTTTGCATTCAATTAAATTTCTGGTTCTGGATTTTTTTCACTACTTATATGACAAATGTAAATTTAACAAATCTTTACAAAAATGCAGGAGAGATCATCAGCCATTTTGCATGCAACCGCCAAACGAAGTGCACTCATGCACTGTAAAAACAACAGCATCCATGCATTGAAATTTTTAATTTTCTTCACAAAATTAAAGTTTGTTCAACTACCGCCACAAAAGGAGTGACACACTGGACGAATAAATACAGCTAATTGTTAATCAATGAATTATGGTTGTATTTTCAATGTCAAAAACGTCGACTTCTAAGCGCGACGTACAGTATATGCGTACCTAGTTTGAATTATGATTGGTGTTCTGAGACAAAAATATGTTTACGATTCGTTGTTTAGGAACATCATACCCAATCACAAATCCTATTAATATTCACAAAACATATATAGGCTACTTTGATATCGATTTTCCAGCTATATTATATGTCCAGAGAGTATACTAAGAAATACTATTTTCTTTTTGTTTTACACAAAATACATGATTCTACACATAATGATTCTATAGTTGTCTTTCGAGAGGTTTAGACTAGAATTGTAAAATCACTACCTGTCAAGTACTGAGTTCGTGGGAGGTAACATAGCGTTATTGTATTTTGAGTGTATGTATGCAATGTGTTGGTGCATGGTTGCAATGGATGTCAATGACCTATCTTATGACCAAGTAAATTAAAAACAGTATCACTTAAGTCGTGTTTACACTACAAGCCTTGGCCTAGCCTTGGCTTGGCCAAGGCCAAGGCCTGGACAAGGCCTGCAGGCCAAGGTAAATGTGGCGCGTTTACACCATTACACTATTTTTTTGAGTCTGGCTCACTTTGGCCTAGAATTTTGTAATTAATTTTGTGTATTTTTTGTGTTGTGACGTTGTCCGCTGGTTGTCCGCTAATCTCTCACTGTAGACACACGTTGCCATTAAAATAAGGCCCAGGCCAGGGCCGAAAGTGTTTACATTTCCACAAGCCTAGGCCAGGCCTGGCCACTGGTTGTAGTGGGCCCAGATTTTCTGCCCTAGGTCAGGCCAAAGCTAGGCCAAGGCTAGGCCAAAGTCTGTTTACACTGTCAAAATGTAGGCGAAGGCTAGGTCAAGGCTGGTAGTGTAAACACGACTTAAGGCAACGCAGTTTCATAAAGGAGAGCAGTCCCCGTCACTCCAAGATATTATATTAGCTATAGCCATGGTCATCCCACCCAGGCAGACCTTCTTATGCACGATTAAAGGGTGTTAATTTTAGATTAACTAGGATTTGTATTACTAAGGTATCTTTGAGTGTTTCAGTATATCCACAATGGAAGATCACTCCTTGACTTGTATCTCCGCACAACTGGTGCTGTCACAAAAATCACGAGAAGTTGGAGCAGTAAACAACTGTGTGTTCCACAGTTATTTAATTTTGTGAATAGCATTATCTGCCCCACAAGGATATTAAAAGAGAAATGTTCGAAAGACACAAATTAATATTTTGCAATACATATTGCGTGAAAAGCATTAATATATGGCAGATCTTCCAAAATTTGAAGTAATAACAACATTGAATGAAAGAATTCTTTAAATCATGAGATTTTAGAGATAAAAATTAGTGAAAAGAGCATATATGTACTTTCTACTTCCAGAGCACTATAGTATTTACTTACAGTTGAAATATTTTCCCCTGTTTTCCATATGTCATGCAGGCATTGAAATTGGTTCTTAATAGTATTGTACTTCTAACACAGTTGTTTTTGCCTAACATTCAAGAGTGATTATTGTAGATGGCGGTTGATTAGATTTATAATAATTTTTGGTGCAAATTATGTTTATAGTCCTTCATACACTTGTCGTCGGGTATCAAAATAACAGGAAAGGTATTGATATCAGTATGAAAGAAACTTCTAGGTTGTTTGATTACTGAAATATGTCTGTTAATCGAAAAATGAACAATATTAATAATTTCCTATAAATGACATAATATAAATAATTAAAAGGAACAATATTAGCCACCACTAAGTTCATAAGTGCCTGCCTGCTCTGCCTGCTCTTGATCAATGAGAACCATTGTCTTCCCTAAAACAAAAAGCTTCTAGGATGTTATAAAAATATATTCATTTGTTAATTTCATACATAACTCTTATTTCGGTAAATATTAGATTATATATAATAATATTTGTAATAAAAAAATGCTCTAATATCCCTACACGTACAATACCTTCTTATTGTTGCTGACATCTACATACATAGAATTGAATCAACGTTTTTATTTCAGTTAGCCCAATGGTTGTTATGTTCTGCTAATGGAGTTTTCTGTCTAGTATTTATGCTGATCAAGTGAAATTTATTTCCAACCGAGTTAAATATTTCTGCAAACAACTTTCTTGACATTAACCCTGGAGTCGGATTTCAAGACTTTTTTCACCAGGGGTATGCCCAGACCCCTAATGTTCCTTTGTACTATACAAGTAATTCACCAGTTATATTCTGCTCTGTACGCTTATTTGCCTTTGAGCGGCCTGAATAAATTAGATTTGTGTGTACCATAATCTATAAGAACACCGAGGAAAAGTAAAATCTACTATATAGGAAGTTTTACCTGAATAAATGCGTCAATAGAAAACTTTGAACGTTGTTAAAATGTTTTTTGTAAATTTTAAGTCGATCTTTAAGAATAGAGATTCGTACATAAATAATATAAATAGATTTGTATCATCAGCAAATATTCTGAACGACAATTTTGATGACGAATTTTGCATGTCATTTACATGCAAAAAGGAATAGTAAGGATCCAAGTGTTGAACCCTGTGGTACACCGCATACGATAGTCTGAGACATTGACTCAGCGTTCCCCATTTTTACATACTGGGTTCGATTTTTCAAATAGCTAGTAAACCAATCAAGAGTAATTCCTTTTATACCATATTTGTGAAGTTTCTTCAATAAAATATCATGATTCACGGTAAAAGCTTTAGAAAAGTCAGGAAATACACCACATGTAGTGAATCTGTCATCAATTGCAGTTTTTAGTTTGTCACTTAGCTCAAACGCTTTTACAATGGTTCGAAAACTACTTGAACGATAGATGGCAGCGAGTTGTCATCAAGGGTGCAGCCTCTGCATTGTCTCCAGTAACATCGGTTGTCCCGCAAGGCAGCATTCTGAGACCGTTGCTCTTTGTCGTATTCATAAATGATCTCCCCGATAAGGTTTCACCCAGTACGAACTCAGCACTGTATGCAGATGAATCTAAGTTATACAGAGAGATAAAATCGGTAAAAGATTGCCAGTTGCTGCAATTAAGACGACCTTGACAAACTGGAAAAGTGGAGCACTAATTCCAAAATTCGATTTAACACTGAAAAGTGCAAAGTGCTGACAATATCAAGAAAGCAAGATCCAACGCGATTTCCAGATCGCATACATGGTAATGAATTATCTCCTTGCCAAGTCGAGAAAGATCTTGGTATGCTCGTGACCAGCAATTTGAAATGGGGCCCACACATACTCAAGATAGTAGCGAAGGCAAATAAAATGCTTGGTATCCTCAAACACTCATACTTTGACATTAACCACACCCAGGTCAGACGGGCCTTATATCTAACGCTAGTTAAATCTCAACTTGTTTACGGGAGCGAGGTATGATGCGCTCCTAACAACAGCTACTTATCAAAGAAAATCGAAGGAGTTCAAAGAACAGTAACGCTGTGGATACTAAAGAAGAAACGCGGAGAACTAAGTTACAAGCAGCGTTCAACGCAAACTTAATTTAATCCCGCTTGTATACGACAGAGAACAGAAGAACTTGATTTTTTTCTATAAGTGCCTGTACGGTCTCACAGATTTTGACATATCGTAGTATGTTGAAGTTACAACGGGAAGGACACGCGCGTCCACCTCTGGTCTTCTGAGAACACAAAGAAATGTTAGAATTGTTAAACTGTGGAACTATGTTTGTAAGTCTGCTCCTTCGTATTATTATGTCATTGTCTCCTCCTTCAAATCACACTTGCAAAAGAATTACATCCACCTCACTAATATTTCCTACACTCCTGACTTACCTAGCTCACACTCACTTATCACGACTCAATAATAATATCGTCCAGGTCTTCCATTCTATAATTTCTCTCTTTGTCTTTTCATTCTCTCTGCCTTTTCATTCTCTTAGTCTTTTCATTTAATCTGCCTTGTCTTTGTTTCTAGTCTAGTGGTGAGCGCCTTGCATGGGACCTAGTCTCGTCTGTGTTTCGCCACTTTTGGCACTTTCCTCATCTTCTTGCACAATGTAGTTGTCCGTTTGAGTCACGTAAATATTTAGTTTTTTATGTGTCAAATTAAAGTTGTTAAACAAAGAATGCAGGAAATGGCATTCAGGGCTTCAAATTTTAAACCTTTTCCGACGGAGAATGCCCCATAATAATGCACCTCCTCCCCCCTCCGGAAAACATCCACCCCTCTCTAACAAATGAAGGCTGACCCGCCCGAGGTTTATTTTATTATTTGCACAATTATGTTCTGCCTTTTCATGTGTATATACAGCATATAGGATATATTTAAGTATTATTTTTCTCAATACCTTAGTAAATACATTTGCTGTTTTGTATTCTTTGCTAGATAGTTGTGCACAGATCCTTACAATCCTATGCATGCTGGTACTCATCAACTCTACTGCTGCTACTCCAGTAGACACGAACCTTGGGATGCAAGAAAATTAGTGGATAACCCTGAATGCCTATATATTTGACATTTACAGAGGAAAGATTTTCAGACGGAGGAATTGACAGTAATTAAAGGTTAAATGAATAAATAATATTTTCACATTTTTCAACAGTGTGGAAATTGTGAATCCAGTGTAAGCATGTGTCAATGTAGGCAGTGCATGATGAACGATATAGTTGCATAGAGTACTTTTGCTTTATACTTAATGAGTAGCAAAAAAACTTTACTTGACTTGTTTTATCATTCAACCAATATTGTAAATATTCTACATTTTGAATGATATGGCCAAACTTTGGGCAAACTTTGTGTACCGTATAAATATACATTTTGTATAGTATATAGACTATGGGCGCATTGTGAATAAAGATCTCGTATTTTCCAGTCATATTTGTAACTATTTTAAAGAAATAAAGTGTACGCACGATTCCAGCATTAAAATATTCATTTCTTTTATCCGAAATTCTGTAACACAATTAAAAGTGTTTTTGTTGTGGGTTTAGAAACACATACCAGTGTGTTGTTTAGCACAAAGGAAAGTGTGTTTTAACAACCCACTGTTGTGGACTAAATAAACACACCTTTTTAAATAACACACGAAACAACAACACACTGTTGTGTGTGTTTTAAACCCTCTATTGTGTGCTAAAGAACACACATTTTTCAATAACACACGTAAAGCGTGTTAATTTTTGGAAGAGTCAAAAACCCACCCTAGGGTGTGTTATCTAACACACTAGTGTGTTATATAACCCGTGTTAATTTGTGGACAAAATAAGTATATTATTTAACACACTTATTTTCCCAAAACTGTGCAAATGATTGAAGCTTTCGTAGATTTTCTGCATGGAAGACTATTCCACAACAGTGCTCCACTATACTAAAAGCTTCGTTTTAAGCAATTAGTTTTTGTCTTAGATAGTCATTTCTTAGTTCCTATAAGATTGTATCCTGAGCCACGAACTGGAAAAAGATTTTGTAGATAGATATAGGTGTATTACCATTATGTGTTTTAAACATCAAAACAATCTTAAACTTTTTGTGTCTTAATGACGGTTATCCAAGCATACGATTTGAAGAAGCACACCAGCGTTGGCGTCATAGCTGGACCTCGTATTGACTCTAGCCGTCCGGTTCTGCAATTTTTGTAATTTAGAAAATAGCGTTTCGCCAAGACCATCGCAGACCGAGCAGCATGCAGCAGTCAAAGTGAGGTTGAACCAATGCTTGATATACTTGGATTGCCGTATTTATTGAAATACAGGATCTTATACGTTTTAATTAAAGCCCTATGGTTGAATCGATTTTTTTACAAAGTTTGTCAATATGCACAGGTAACATAAGATGATTATCAAGGTGGACCCCCAAGGATTTGACCAATGCAACTTGATCGATCACATTACCATTTATTTCAATATCCATTTCATTATTTAATGTTTTTATTCTTTGCCTAGATCCAATTACCATAAATTCCGTTTTTATCATATTTAAGCTTAGCTTATTTGTAACAAGCCAATCATTGAGACCTTCATATTTAGCGGTTGATGACATTTTGGAGCTCTTTGGCCGAATCAGTCGCATAGCTGATATTTGTATTATCTGCAAACATTCTTGGGATTTCATGATTAAGACAGTTGGGTAGATCATTGATATAGATAAAAAATAATAGTGGCCGTGGACTATACACCTTAAGGGACACCACAAGTCACTGGCACAGAATCTGGCCTTTGTTCATTTATCCGGTATTTTTGAGTGCTATTAGTGAGATAAGAAATATTTGGGTAAGACTATTTTCGTCTATTCCATAGCTTTTAAGCTTTTGTAAAACAATTTGATAATCGATCGTATCAAAAGCTTTCTTTAAAGCAATAAAACCAACTCCGTTAATTACGGACCATTGTTGGTCATGGACCAGTCGCCTGTTGCTTCTACAGCAACGCTGTTAAGGTAATATGAAATAACCGAAATCCAGATTGGCAATTGTTTAGCAAGTTATTTGAGTTGAGATACCCATATAGTTGATCAAGAACGATTTTTTCAAATATTTTAGCAACACATGGAAAAATGGATATAGGCCAATAGTTGCCTGGGTTACTTCTTGTGCAACTCTTAAATATTGGCGTTAGTCTACTTGCCTTCCATTCACATGGGAATTTTCCGGCACTAACGCCCGTATTCTAAAAGCTCACTCACACTCATTGAGTGGAAGTTCAATCTGAGCTTCTCTCGAGTGTCATTGCTGTTTCTAAATAGCTGGAGGGTTAGTGTCGTACCTTCCTTTGTGACTACTCAGTACTCACCCTCCAGCTATTCAAAAACAACATTGATACTCAAGCGAAGCTCAGATTGAACCTCCACTCATTGAATGTGAGTGTGAGTGAACTTTTAGAATACAGGCGAAATTGATGCAGTGGATATTTCTGTATGTTAACGAAGTTGCATGCAATCACACTTGCAGCTATCTTCAATAGCTTGTTTGGTATATTGTCCAGAACAGCCGACTTCTTTCCATCTATCGTACTCAACAGTTGATAAACTGTGTTAATTAACGGACGGAGTTTTAAATGAAAAAAGATTTATCGGTTGGTTTAAGATGGATCGAAACTTGGATCACGCCACGATCTTGCACGCATGTCTGGTCGATCTCCAGTCGATTAAATAATCGACTTGTTTTAACCAGAAATTTTCGAAAAATTTTAGAAAATAGAAATAAATAATTAAAAAAATTTTTAAAAATTAATTTTAAAAAAATTATTTTTTAAAAATTAAAAGAATTTTTCTCCTTACCATGTTAATACCGAGTGAACAATAGCATGCACATAACAAAGAGTTGTTGTTGATGGCATTACGAGATTACGAGATGCATGCAAATTAGTACTTGTTGGTTGGTTACAAGAATGTATATATACATACAAGAATGTATCTATGAATTGAGTTAATTTAAAGGGTGTATAGAACCGGCATTTACTTGTTATAATATCCGGCACTTACAGTACTTGTGACAGCCATTCTCCAAAATTTAAGCTCCGCCTCGTATGGACGGCATGAATAGTGTATAAAAAGACTTTGCGCGGCCGCCGACATGTATAGGTTGCATTCACCGAAGTTGCGCATGCTGTGAACAAGAGTGAAGAAGAAAGTCGTGGAAGAAACAAATGATGTTCAAGTTACTGGCCATTGGCATTGTTGCTGTTTGCTGTATGCATGTTGCTTTTGGTAGAAGTAAGTTCGTAAGTCGTAACTATACTAAATTAGATTCAGATGTGTGGATAAATTTTCCATTTTTGAACCAGTCAATTGGAAACTGCTTGGGAATTCCCGAATAGTTTGTGTAATTCAATTACATATATTTCGCTAAAAATTACGTCGGTGACCGTACGTTCTGGAAGATCAATTAAAAGCATATTCGTATGGGCTAACTTAACCGGGAGTCTCGTCTGAGTAAGATGCCATATGGCTAATGACAAACCAGGTCAAAGCCAACTCCTAACTCATATATATGTTTATATGGACACTCAAACAGTAGGCTAATAAAATAACGCTATAAAACTACAAGAGTAAAACAGCAAACTTCCAAGCAGTTTCACTGAGTATATTTACTTTTAAAGTTGGTGAGCAAAGTTACAGCAAAAATGCTATAAACAAATGCTCGACCTTTTCAATGTATTTCAAAAACTATTTTTTCAAAGAAAACCAATCACATAACAACTTACTTGAACATTTTTTAAGTAATTGGATCGTTTGGACGTAAAATATTATAGGCTCGTACAAAGCCGCGTAGCCTAATTTAGTATCCAAGCTTAAGTCGTGACTTGTTTTGTTGTTGTTCTCGTTTCGTTTGAAATAATTTGGCGGTTTACAACGCCAAATACACGGAGATCCTTAAAAAAAACATGGAAATCTATTTTTTCAGGTTTTTCATAAATAAAATCCTATTGAACGGTTAGACATATAATCCTGCCGTGCATTTTACTCGTTTCTTGCATTTTCCCTCGCCTTTTCTGGGCTCGTAAGAATACGTTTGAAACTCGTAAAATACGCGGCCGGATTATATGTCAAACCATTTAAAAATATATTTATTGACGCCTTGGATAGATACTGAAGCATTGATTGGCATTGGCATGCAGTATAGCTTAATATATGTCAGTTTACTTAGTATACTTATACTATATTACTTACTATATTAAAGTTAGTAACTTTTCCTTTTGAACTATTTTTAAAAAAGTAATAAACGATCCTTATTATTTTGCGTGTATCGCTTGAATATGTTACTTTAATTTAGGTGCATGACAACGCGCCTTAAATAAACAGACTTGAATTCCACGCTACATTGATAGCAAAACGGTTGACCATTTGAACGCTCATTAGCAGTGGATCAGACGAAATACCATTCAGTAGTCATGATTAAATGGTTGGACAATTATCTTTCCAAGAATCAGCATAACTTTGCGCATTTTTCACAGGACTATAAATATAGACAACTCTTGCATATATAAGCATTCCAGTTTAAATTGTTGTAAAAAATCCTTAAATGCCAAATTTCTTAATCTGCATGCATTGTTTGCAAGAATTGACTGAAATCACAATTTTTGCATGCAACCAATGCATGCATGCTCGTACAATCATACTCGTATAATTTTAACTGTATAATAACTCCACCAATTATAAACCATTATAGACCGAGGTTGGAAACATTCTAGCCGTTAGGAAGCTGTGCATGTTACTGTAATTTAACTGAAAACTCTGAGAACATTCACTATATCTGGTATTTGTCAATTTTTTGGTCACGTCTGTATAGTTTCACTCGAAAGGTTTCAACTTCTAAATTGCATGTCTAAGTACGGAAGCAGTCTTTCCTCAATTGCAATTGCATGTCTAAGTACGGAAGCAGTCTCTCTCTTTCGATGACAAATGTATTACTCGTAAACCAAAGGTTAAGTTTCTGGGGTTTTTTCTGGATGAGAATCTCACCGGGAAGCCTCACATTAGTCATGTCTGTAAAAAGGTTTCTAAGTCTATCGGTTACCGAGCAAGTTTTTACCTGTTAGCTACTACTAAATTGCAGGGCCTTTTTTAAGGATTTTCCCGTGTGGGGGCATTTTTTGAAAACGGACCTTTCTGTGAGATAATATATTAGAGGGGGATAACAATGGCTGAAAGCCACGTGTGTGGCAAATCCATACCACGCATGAATGGGGGTCTGGGGGTGTACTCCCCCAGAAAATTGTTGAAATTTGACTCCCGGAAATGTCATTTCCTGCATTCTGAGCATCCAAATTTGCTCCAAAATTTATCCTAACTTAGCTAATTATACTTGTATTTGAAATAAATAAAGGAAGAAACGCACAAAAAGTAAAAAAAATTAACCATCATTTATCATTACTTATTAGAGGAGGATAGCAATGCTCAGGTGTGTGGGGGTGTACTCCCCCAGAAAATTGTTGAAATTTGACTCCCGGAAATGTCATTTCCTGCATTCTGAGCATCCAAATTTGCTCCAAAATTTATGCTCACTGTAGTTGTATTTGAAATAAAAGATGGAAAAATGCACAAAAAGTAAAAAAGAATATTAACTGCAATTTATCATTACTTATTAGAGGGATAATCCCAAGAAAATTTTTGAAATTTGAAACCGTGAAATGCTATTTCCTGCATTCTGAGCATCCAAAAAATAAAAAAAATATTAACAATAATTTATCATTACTTAGTGGTAAAAAAGTAACAATTTAAATCGATTTTGTTAAACAAGAACAAAGGATAAAGCCTAAAATTTACTTTCCGTTTATCTATTTGTTAATCTTCGCTGGATTGTTTATATAATTTTAGGAAAAAGGGACTTTTCCTGGGGGGGGCAAAATGTGATTTCGTGGGGGGGCACAAGGGGGGACTGGGGGGAGGCAAATGCCCCCCCAGCTTGTATGTTAAAAAGGCCCTGGCAGGGTGCAAAACAACAGCTGGAGGGTCGCCGGTCAAGGTGACCGGCCAATTCAATTTTAGCTCGGACATACCGAATTTCTGGTCGGTGAAATTATTCAGCTTAAAGCAAAGCCTAGTAAAGTGTACCCCTATAAATGTGACTATTTTTCCAGTAGAGCATTACAAAAAGACTTACTTACTTAGCCTTAGTTTATCATCACTGTAATCAGTAATTAAAAACTCCTTCACAAAAAACAGCTTGCACTGCACTAGGCCAAAAGCATGCATGGCCTTAACTCAAAAGCCAAGTTGTTTTCCCGCAAAACATTCGACATGTTATGGTTCTTAATTATAATACTTGACAACTTTATTTTTTAGTTAAAGTGACCAGTCAAAATGACCGGCAAGGTAAGAATCTGGCCGGACATTGTCCGTTGACCGGCCGTTATTTCACGCTCTGCTGGGGTTCAATGCAACTTAACCATATAGACATATAGGCAGATAGTCTGATAAACTCATTACCTACCAGTGCTCTACCTTTGACGAGTAAAATCAACTGGCATTAAGACATGCAGAGTAAAATAAGCATATATATTGATTCTTACATAACTTTCAAGTTTGCATGACGATGATGGCGGCTCAGGTATGCACGGAGCGCCCTCCGTTAAGAAGTCACAATATTCATATGGGACGCCCGATAGTTGCTTTAGAATGATTTCACCAGTTTCCCTCGCTCGGACCATTGATGATATAACAATTTTATCAATCTTGTTATTATTTGAGTGTAACATTTTTAATCTTTTGGCTGTTTCTTCTGCCTGTTGCCTAATTTGGTTGGAGAATTAAAACATATAAATAGTGCTAATCTATCATATTTGAGATTCTACATAAGGTAGTTCAGATACAAAGTAGTTCAAGAACACCACAACAAACTACAAAACAGCTTATTACATAGAATACTATGGTACCTGCAGTACCTAAGTTTATGTTATCAGGTAATCAGTTAACCAGAGTGTGGATCCTGCCCTATTATTATTTGACACTAGCTAGGTTTCAAAACGTTTCTTCCCCAAAGTTTATGAATCAAAATGTTTTGTTTTGTGTGTGAAACATAATTGTTAATTTGCATGCAAAACCTATAGTTTGGACCTCAAACCACATAGCTTGAATTTTAAAAGTAACGGCAGGTATTAATGCTTGCATTTTTGTATACCTGTATTACTGACAGTATGCATCGATCTAATTCCTTTATTAGAGACATTTTGCCACTGACAATAGAACCTAAGTGAAGCATGCATTCAAATGTAAAATCTCATAATTAAAACAACTTGTTTGATGATACGCCCACAATGCACGCTTCATCACAAATATGGTTATATATAAGACCTCGACATTATAAACCTTGCCACCCTCCCTTTTTTTCCACCCTGCATGCAAATCAAAATGAACAATTAGAAACAAACAAACCTTCCCAAATATGTCAGAACTTTCTTCTCATCTTCTTCAGCCTTCACATACTGCCCGTGTCGTATGAACAGCAAATGCCTGGTTGCACTGGGCTTACCCAAACCTGCCTTTTGCTCGTCAACTTCTCCAAAATGTTCAGCTAGGCTTGGGACGCTGTGTTTATCAGGAGTCTTAGGCCTTGCCCCATAGTTTGGCTCACGAAAATCCCAATTTTTATTCCAATTCTGTATTTCGAAAGCTGGTCCTGACCTTAGAATACAAGATGAATGTGTAAGTTAAGAGTGTACTATAGTGATGTGCATATGAGTTCTGGCATTTGGTAATTTGTCAGTCAGAGCCACAGCCTGAGAGTCGGGGGTGTTGCTAGGGGAGGTGTATGGAAGGCGGACTACCCCCCACTTGTAAGGTAGGTGGCAATATTGCCTTATCCCAGTCATCAAAACATGAATTGGATGGGAAGGAATGAAAATAAAATATTTGAGTAAATTACTTCTGAAAAGTCAAACTTCTACCTAAAACAGCATGTGTATAGGAAAGAAGGAAAAAATGTCCAGGAAAAATTTGTACAGCCTTTGTGGAAAATTTATGTTTATACCTTGGTGAAATTACTTTACCTTGTAAAATTTCACTTACACCCCATAAAATAGGGGCCCCTGGTCGAAGTTGTGGTCACAGATCTATTATTAGATCAGTGGTTGCAGTGCTTTCTCCATGAGAATAATTTCAATATTCGGACAATAACTTTACATGCAATTCCCAATGGTGGAAAATGTTATTTCGCCTGGCACTTTTAAATTGGATCATATTTGGCCACTTTTGATTGCAATGGGTCGTTCCAGAAAAGATCCACACTCCCCCCACGGAGGAAATTTCTGCCGTCCGGAGGGGGAGGGGAGAAAAAATTGTTTCTGATAATAGTAAATGTATTAGGACATCCGAAGGGGGTAGGGGGTTAACTTCCGATTTCCTCTGTGGGGGTGGTATGGATGTTTTCTGGAATGACCCAATGATACAACAAAGGTAGCATTCGACAGCTAAAGGCCTGATCTTTATTGGTATGAAAAAAGCAAATGGATAAATGTAATATATAATGCATGAAAACGTACCAAAGTTGGATTACAAAATACAATGCAAAATTAGACCTTAATTTGTTGCATTCATAGTTTGTACTCTGTCGGGAAAAGTGATTTGCAATTTCCACCAAATCAATGTGCAAATTGCACATTCCATTCTGTTATAAATTTGAACTCTGCATAGGGTGCGTTCCTTTAGTACAATCTGGATTTGGATCTTCGAATCCGATTATCGATTTTCAGTTTCATTTAACAAAATCTTAAAATAGATTGGAATCTGATGAATCCACCTCAACATATGGATTTTTCGGATTCAATCTGAATCTTGATTAGGATTCAACGTTCCTTTTGAGTTTCTGGCCTTCTAGCATGTACCTTGACCCAACCGAAAGGTATAGTGGGACAGAAAAAATGGCGGGAAAACAGCAGGCGAATTCCGATTCTCACAATTCGTTCCATTTGTTTAACGAATCCAAAAAATCCGAATCCTAAAAATCCAAATCTAGATTTACAAAAGAAACGCTCCTTATGTAACAAATATGTAACACTACACAACATCATGTAATACGTATGTAACAGTCTGTAATACCACTAATACCATTCATTAATAACACTAGACACTACGTAAAAGCGTACCGTAATACAATATTGTAACAGAAACTTAACGCCACAACAGAGAAATTCTAAATCGTAAATGGCATACATACCTCAGGACTTCGGCGCTCCTCCCATCAGCCGCAGCGTATAACGTTCCCAATTTATTGTCGCCACGAGTCTTGTACATTAATAGGGTACATGAAAACACGCTAGCACTCGCAAAAGCGATGTACTTTAACGAACGACGCATTGTTATAAGTAAAGGTTTGAGTTTTTGCTTATTAGAAACGTTGAAGGTTTAATAGTTCGCCCTTTTTTAGCTTAAAAAATGATGATTTACGCCGGTACGTTGTCAAAATCTGAAAATCTGTACATTTTTGCCCTGGGCTCGAATTTCACGCGGGATTTCCCCTAAAACCAGGGGGGTGATCTAGTACCAAGCGCAAGGGGGGTGAAAAGATGTGCTAACTGGATCTGTCTGGTGTCAAGTAACGAAGTAAAAGTACTTCTATTCGTTACAATAGTTATACTGTACTTGAGCACTATTTTTGAGAAGTCGGCATGTAACAAAGTAAACTTTTTCTGGAGTACTTTTACTTGGAACGAAGTGATTTTAAGAAGTAACGTTTTACTTCGTTATTTTCATTTTGTGGCAAAGTATTTCGTTACTTTCTCACATTTGTTTAATTTTACGTGATTTATTTCTGATTTATTTTAACGCATAATTGCGTACGTATGCTGTTATGTGTCTTTTATATGGAGAAGTCCCCCCCCCCCCCCTACGCGCTATACACAATAGTAGTATAGTACTTTTACATTTATTTACTTTTTGCTTAAACACGTTTTGCCTCCAGTACTTTTTACTCTCACTCAAGTCGTTTTATTGTTAATTACTTTTACTCGAGTACAAATTCAAAGTAATTTAGGCACCACTGAGAGAACCTTACCAAATGATCCAGAGCTAACTCAGTCACCCTCGAGCGTGGCGCTTCGTTGAATTTCGAATAGTTAACACAAACCTCAGTTTTTACATGCTGACGTCATTAGAAACATTTAATTAAGGAGCGTTTCTTTTGTAAATCTAGATTTGGATTTTTAGGATTCGGATTTTTTGGATTCGTTAAACAAATGGAACGAATTGTGAGAATCGGAATTCGCCTGCTGTTTTCCCGCCATTTTTTCTGTCCCACTATACCTTTCGGTTGGGTCAAGGTACATGCTAGAAGGCCAGAAACTCAAAAGGAACGTTGAATCCTAATCAAGATTCAGATTGAATCCGAAAAATCCATATGTTGAGGTGGATTCATCAGATTCCAATCTATTTTAAGATTTTGTTAAATGAAACTGAAAATCGATAATCGGATTCGAAGATCCAAATCCAGATTGTACTAAAGGAACGCACCCTTAGCGTGAGAAAGGCTAATTGGTTCTCACTTTTAGGAATTTATCCTAAAAAGAAGGAATTTGATATTTTTTAGCCATAGTGGACAAAAGTAGTCGAGAAATTTTTTTCTGGTCGAGAATATTTTTATACAGTCGAGACAGGTTTTTCGAATCGAGATTATGTTTTTACCGTCGAGAACATTTTCTTCACAATCGAGATTATTTTTTCAGTCGAGATTATTTTTTGCAGTCGAGAATTTTTTACAGTCGAGAATATTTTTGCAGTCGAGAATCATTTGATTATTGCAGTCGAGAATATTTTTACACTGGAGAATATTTTTACACTCGAGAATTTAAAGTCGAGACTGATCATTTAGGGGTCTAGCTATTTTGCGGGCCGCGGGCTGCGGGTCAGTTTTTGCGGGCTGCGGGTCAGTTTTTGCGGGCTGCGGGTTAAAACAATTGCGGGCCGCGGGCCAAATTGCTGGCCTAACTAATTTTTTGTTGCATGCCATATATGTTGCATGCAACCATAGGCGTACGGGATGGGGGGGGGGCGGGGGGGGCAGTTGCCCCCCCCAAAAAGATTACAAAGTCGAAAATTCGGGCAAATGTTCAACAAAAGTCGGGCAAAAAGTAGTAAAAGCAACAAAATCTCTCTCAATAATAATCCCAGTTTGTTGGGCAAACAAAGCCAGTTTGGCAATATTCGCTTAACGTACAGTCGGGCAATATTAGGTTATTATAAAATAAAATGGGACAAATTGTGTAAATTTTGCGGAAAATTATGGCGATTTTCGGGAAAATTTGTTTGATGTTCCGAAAAATTTTAGTATGTCGGAAAAATTTTTTGGACCCCTAAAATGGTACACTGACCGAAATTGTTTTGGCGACGGGGGGGGGGGAAGTTCGCAAAAATTAATTGTTCCGGAAAAAAAATTTTCAGCACTTGTCGGGCACAATCCGAAAAATTCGGGCAAATTTCTTTCTGCCCCCCTAATTTTCTCCCGTCCCGTACGCCTATGCATGCAACTTTCATATAGCTCTAAATTTCGTGTCGCTGTGAGCGGCGGTGAGCGTACCGGTCACGTGGAAATTCGTAAAATACGACAAATACCGAGTTTTTCCGACAAGCAATTCATCACTCATGCTCGAGGAAAGGGAAAGAAAAATGTTTGAGTGTTCGCGGAAAATTTACATAATTGAGCGCCTTAGAAAAATAGATCAAGGTAGGTAAAGCTTTGCTGGTTTTAATTTTCCTTATATTCTGTTATTTGTTGTGATTCTGGAGCAGTTGTGCTTGCAATGAATGATTATTTATCAGTCGTTTTTAATATTTAATATATCAAAGTGACTATATGACCGGCAGCCGGTCACGGTTTATCAAATACGAAATGGCCGGCAGTCTAGTGACTAGGGTCTAGCTATTTTGCGGGCTGCGGGTCAGGTTTTGCGGGCTGCGGGTTAAAACAATTGCGGGCCGCGGGCCAAATTGCTGGTCTAACTAATTTTTTGTTGCATGCCATATATGGCATGCAACTTTCATTGGCGAGCGTACCGGTCACGTGGCAAATTCGTAAAATACGACAAATACGGAGTTTTTCCGACGAGTATTTCATCACTCATGCTCGAGGAAAGGCAAAGAAAAATAATTGAGCGCCTTTAAAAATAGATCAAGGTAGATAAAGCTTTGCTGGTTTTAATTTTCCTTATATTCTGTTATTTGTTGTGATTCTGGAGCAGTTGTGCTCGCAATAAAATATTAATCATAAAATGAATGATTATTTATCAGTCGTTTTTAATATTTATATCGTGAAGCCTGGCTACGCTATCAAAATACTCATTTTTTTATATATGCTCAATATATACTATATTGTGTGCAAAACTTCAAAACTACAGTACATTTTGTAAATAGCATGAAATATATTAAAATATCAAACAAAATTCTCATTATACTATTGAAATTTAATGGGTCATTCCAGAAAAGATCCATACCCCCCCCTACGGAGGAAATCGAAAATAACCCCCTCCCCCCCTTCGGACATCCTTGAATGGTTCATCCTCCCCCCCTCTCCGGACATCCAAGCCCAAAATTACCCCCCTCCCCTTCGGACACCACTATTTCTAAATTTTTCTAAAGGCTACCTCGCCGTTTGAAAACGTCAAATTAGACTACGTTCACACTACGCGCGAGCGAACTAATGCGGGCAGAATTTACGTGTGTTCATACTACCGCCATTACAGTTTGTTTACAAATTGATAAACCCAAAATATTTCAAATAGACCCAAGAAATTTAACTGAAAAGCATTCGTGTTTATACGTTTGTGCATGCATGTTCACACGAAGCTATCAAGCGCTCCGCCGTTTTCACCTCGCTCAGTTTAGAAACCGTGCTCAAATTGTTACGGCAAAAGTGACGTGAAAGTTTTCAAACGATTTCGCTCCAGCGTAGAGTGAATTAGCGATGGCTTATTGTGACTTTTCTACGCTGTTCTCAAATAGCTCCGGCGTGGCGGAACACTTGGCGGCCTCTTGTGACTTGCGAACACAAACACGTGGCAGATTTTGTCGGATAATTTGCAGAAATTCACTTCGAAATTCGATCAAGTAAAATTCGGACTGAAATTCGATGTAACTTGCGACTGATTGACAAGCGTTGCTGTGTTTACTTACATGTTAATACATTTTTTAGTATATTACTGCATTCCTTAACGTCGCCCTTAATATGAAAGCCATTTCTATTTTCTAGACACGCACCTCGCAAGGAAGCTTTATTGACTATATACTAAAACAAATTGTTTTGAGTTCAGTTCACATAGCAGTCTCTTAATTCGAGCAACAGTTTAATAACTATTATTTTTCACACTTGAATAATTCAAACTTATATATACGAACGAAAACTGCAAAACTTTACTTTTATATAAATAAAGCGTGTCAATTTTCGACTCATTCTCAACATGCAGGATACGCTGTTACAGCGAGTTAGTTTTTGGTGGGCATGCATGCAAAAGTGGGCCGCTTATTTTGCTTACGAGTTACGTGGACGTATAATTATTGCTGTTACATAAACGTTCTGGTGTTCAAGAGCTACATACATATAGCCGATAAAAATTGCGTGCTCATTATAATCGCCGATCACATAGCTTTATCACAGTCTCAAACCTTCAGACAAACATATCCACATTCCTCTCCCCCCCCCCCTTCGGACATCCTAAGACATTTTTCCTCCCTCCCCCTTCAGACAGCAAAAATTTCCTCCGTGGGGGGGGGTATGGATCTTTTCTGGAGCGACCCAATTGCAAAAAATGTTCTCAACCTTGGTTAGTAAAACTACTCTGCAGCACTTTTTATATACAATACTAACACAGTTTGGGTAGTATTTAAAGAAAAATACAAGGTATTTAATCAAAGACAACAAAAATGAAAACAATAAAATTAATAAACAGTATGGACAAATAAGTTTTTAGTTTGCTTAATCTCATAAATATGTCTCTTTTTATCAAACAAAAAGAGAAATTTTCAGGAAAAAATATAAATCTGTGGCTTCTTTAGTTGTATTTTTTATTTAGGATGGTGTCAAATTCGTCGGCTATCTGCAAAATAAAATTTGCAGCTCTTCACAAAGTCAAAACACAGCTATTCCTGACTGCTTTAATAGTTATAAACATTGTAAAATTTACCGTGTAATTTCGACTTTTGCTAACAAAAACATATTGAGAAAGTTCTTTAACCACAGGAGGTGCTCCTTTTCTTTAGTTTAGGTTTATTTTTCTTCGTTTTGAATAGTTTTGAAAGACTTTTAGACACGTTTTGCCGTTTGAAACTCTGCTCTTGTCGCAGGGCGGGCAATAGAAATTGCGTATTGC